GTTACTGCTGTCGTTGTTGCTTTTGTTCGTGTTGTTACTGTTGTTGTTGTGGGGTTGTTGTTTATTTGCCTATTACATCTGTGTGCGCATTACTTAACATACTGGGAAGAGTGATTAAGAAGAGTGAGATGTGGCGAAGGTCAGGCCGAGTGTGAGGCCACTAACTCCTCTTAAGGGAGGAGGTAATTATCTATAATTAATTAATATTAAGTAAATATTACTTAATTGCGCTATACAGGAAATATTGGGCAATACTTCCTTCTACACTACTTCTGCTCTCTTCTACACGCACACACATACATGGAGAAGTTTATCAGGAGTTTATCAGAAGAGTGGTGGAGTACCTACAGAGAAATGAGCTTATTCACGATAACCTGCACGGTTTCAGGGAGGGAAAATTCTGTCACAAAACCTAAAGGAGTTTTACGACAAGGTGACAGAAATAAGGCAGGAGAGAGAGAGAGAGAGGGAGGGGTAGATTGCATTTGCTTGGATTGTAAGAAGGCTTTCGACACAGTTCCACACAAGAGATTAGTGCAGAAGATAGAAGAGCAGGTATGAATGACAGGAAAGGCACTGCAATGGATCAGAGAATACATGACAGGAAAGAAACAATGGGTGACGGTACGTGACGAGTGGGTTGTCATGAGCGGAGTTCCACAAGGGTCAGTCCTAGGGCTGGTGCTGATGACGTGAAACTAATGAGAATTAAAGTGGATGAGGATCAGGTAGAACTACAGAGGAATCTGGACAGGCTGAAAGCCTGGTCCAATAACGGGCTTCTGTAGTGTAACCCCACCAAGTGCAAAGTCATGAAGATTGGGAAGGGTCAAAGAAGACCGCAGACAGTGTACAGTCCAGGGGGCCAAAGACTACAAACCTCACTCAAGGAAAAGGATCTTGGAGTGAGTATAATACCGAGCACATCAACCAAATAACTGCTGCAGCATATGGGCACCTGTCGAAACCAGCGTTTCGACACATTAGCAAGGAATCGTTCAAGGCTCTATACACCGTATACGTCAGACCCATAATGGAACATGCAGCACCAGTATGGAACCCACACCTGATCAATCACGTCAAGACATTAAAGAGCAAAGGTTTGCAACAAGACTAGTCCAGGAGTTAAGGGGCATGTCCTACAAGGAGAAGTAAAGGGAAATCGACCTGACGACACTGGATGACAGGATAGATTGGAGGGGACATGATAAAGACATGCAAAATACTGAGAGGAATTGACAAGGTAAGTATGGACAGAATGTTTTAGAGATGGGACACAGCAACAAAGGGCCACAACTGGAAGCTGAAAACTCAGATGAGCCATAAAGATGTTAAGAAGTATTTATTTCTTTAGCCGTAGAGTTATCAGGATAAAACACCTCAATTACTGGGAGCGCTTGAGGTTCCTGAACCTGTATTCCCTGGAACGCAGGCGGGAGAGATACATGATTATATACACCTGGAAAATCCTAGAGGGACTAGTACCGAACTTGCACACGAAAATCACTCACTACGAAAGCAAAAGACTTGGCAGACGATGCAACATCCCCCCAATGAAAAGCAGGGGTGTCACTAGCACGTTAAGAGACCATATAATAAGTGTCAGGGGCCCGAGACTGTTCAACTGCCTCCCAGCATACATAAGGGGGTTTACCAACAGACCCCTGGCAGTCTTGAAGCTGGCACTGGACAAGCACCTAATAAGTCGGTTCCTGACCAGCCGGGCTGTGGCTCGTACGTTGGTTTGCGTGCAGCCAGCAGTAACAGCCTGGTTGATCAGGCTCTGATCCACCAGGAGGCCTGGTCACAGACCGGGCCGCGGGGGCGTTGACCCCCGGAACTCTCTCTAGGTAAACTCCAGGTAAGTGGAATAATCTGGAGAGAGTAGTAGTGGAGGCAAGATCCATACATAGCTTTAAGAAGAGGTATGATAAGGCTCTTGGAGCGGGTAGAGAGTGACCTAATGGCGACTAGTGAAGAGGCTTGGCCAGGAGCTGTGAATCGACCCTTGTAACCACATGTTGGTGAGTATGCACACACACACACACACACATACTAGATAAGAAAGTGCTGAGCCCAAGATTCCAAGAATCAACTACCTTAATCTATTCACGGTTACAAGACGGACCAGGAACTTGAGTTATATTCCAGCAGATACAACTCGGTAAGTACAGCCACGACACAACTGGCTAACATAGATAATTTCCCTCTGACAGCGAAAGCAACTAGCTCTACATCTCATGGCAAGAAGATAATGATCAAACTGTCTCATATCCAACTTACAGGTTTACTCACGTTTTTAATCATGTATGTTTGAAATTTTATGAAGCATTTTCAAATATGCTTTCTGAGCACACTTTTTCTTGTAATCACGCATCGCTTTTAACAGACTTGTGTTTCGTTCTTAAGAGGCTACTTCCGTAGCCGCTTAAGTGATGTTTATTTGTGGGTGATGATCTGTTTTATTGTTACCAGAGCTGCTGTTATATCTTCACTTTGTTGTCACGAGCTGTTGGAGTGTGAGCAGGGTAATATTTAGTGAAAGGATTCAGGGAAACCGGTTATTTTTATATAGCCGGACTTGAGTCCTAGAAGTGGGAAAGTACAATGCCTGCACTTTAAAGGAGTGGTTTGGGATATTGGCAGTTTGGAGGGATATGTTGAGTATGTTTATACGTATATGCTTCTAAACTGTTGTGTTCTGAGCACCTTCTGCAAAAACAGTGATTCTGTGTGAGTGAGGTGAAAGTGTTGAATGATGATGAAAGTATTTTCTTTTTGGGGATTTTCTCTCTTTTTGGGTCACCCTGCCTCGGTGGGAGACGGCCAACTTGTTAAATATATATATATATATATATATTATATATATATATATATATATAAATATATATATATATATATATATATATATTATATATATAAACTGTACCAGTACAGAATGTGTGCTATGACTTTTATCAATATAGAATAGCTGCTATAACTATTATATAAGTATAGAGTGTCTGCTATTAACTACCATATCAATATAGAATGTCTGTTATAACTATCATATCAATACAGAATTTCTGCTATAACTACCATATCAATATAGAATGTCTGTTATAACTATCATATCAATATAGAATGTTTCCTAATAATTACTCTCATGATATCTAGCTAAGTATATCTTCGGCCTATCGATTAAACTAGGATCATTAAGGCTGCACATAACCTGTAATCCATAAAACAGGTATTAAGTAAACTTTCAGTGTAAATTCACTGAGAGAGACACACCGCTCAGTGAGATGCTTTGTTAAGTAATTTAAGAGTAAAGAAATAAATGACCAAAGAATAAATTGACTACGAGGACAAATTTAAGAACATTTGAAAATAGTGTTGGGAGAGAACCAGAACAACAAGAAGATGAATATTTTATTAGTAACTGTTATTTTAATATTTCCAAAGCAAACAAAATAATACAGAATGACAAGGAAATTGAACAAGCTGATAATACGAGGTTTTGAGAAACAAAGCTGTTCCACTGAAAAGAATCAACTTACACACCACAAGGAATAGTTGCATGATGACCCATCCGGGTTGAGCGTTAATAATAGTAGTAATAATGGCGTGCTGTTGGAGCGTGAAGAAGGTAACATTTATGAAGGGATTCAAGAAAACCGGTTAGCCAACAGAGGTGGGAAGTACAGTGCCTGCACTCTGAAGGAGGTGTTTGGATGTCGCAGTTTACTGAGTTATCTGAACTGCTCGCCTCTGGCAAGACAGTAATTGAGTGTTCGTTAAAGTGTTTCTTCTTTACTGGGTCACCTGACCTGGGTGGGAGGTGGCCAGTGTGTTAAAAAAATCTGATTATGATATTAATAATTATCACAAAGAGCGTACATTTCATGTCTGTGAGGCCAGAAGTGCATCTTTCATACTAAGGAAGAACTAAGATGGTACAGAGGCACTAGGATGACCAGGACACATTAGATGGACTACGTGAACTAGGATGCCCAGAGCTAGGAGGGACTAAAGGAGTGGGAGATAGATCTAGAAGAAACTAGGGAGATAAGTATTTGGAGGAACTAGGATTACAACTAGGAGGAGCTAGGGCCAGAACAAGAAAGAACCAGGGGTGCCAAAACTGGGAGGAATTAGGGGGACCAGGGCTAGGATGAACCAAGGGACAAGAACTACGAGAATGAGAACTAAAAGGAAATAAAACTAGGGGGAACAGAATCACGAGGAAATAGAGGGACCAGAACTAGGAAGGACTAGGGTGACCAGAACTAAGTGGAAATAGGGGGACCAAGTGAAAAAGAAAAATTCTAAATGCAGGATTATCAAGGGACCTCAGAGAGAACTAGAGAGATCGCTCGATTCTAGGAGGACGGGGAAATAACAGTAGTACCAGTAGTACAGTAGTAAGGAGAAATTTGAAGACTTACGAAGACCCAGTGGACGAAGGAACAACATCCAGGAGGGATGTGGGAGACTTAGCAATACCTGAGGGAAAGTGATTGCAATAAAGGAAATTAAAGGGAGATAGATAAGGATTAGTGAGGCAAGAATGCTTTGTTGATGGGAGATGATCATTAAGGGTTACTAAGGGGAAAAAAAAGTCGTGTAAGGAACACTGAGGCAAGAAGAAAGGTTCCCTTGGTGGGGAAAAACCATAAAGGATGACAAGGCAATAATAGAGAAAGGTAAGGGATAATGAGGCAGGAGTAGTGAGGTAAATGATGAGGCAGAATCAGGATTTATATTTTCAAAATAATATACAGAATTGAAAAGATCACAGCATGCACAACAGTTGGAGCAAACTAAGGCTAGTCTTATAACGAAATGAGGGAGATAGAAGAAGTATATTAAAAGTGAGGCAGGAATAAAAGCTCTATTAACATTGATCAATGAATGGGCTTGATCACCAGATAGCCACGAAGGACGCTCACAACTGGGCTTCTACGAGCATTGACAATGAGTGGAGAGCATTATGTGACACTGAAGGCTGGACACAGTACCTGGATGGCGTTGGTGACATTCCAACCCGCCTGCCACTCCGTGATCTGGTCATTGTCCGCGCACTCCACCCCAACCGTGGACACGCTACCCACGGAGCCCTCCCTCTGCAGGGGCGGCTGTCCTTCAGGAGGAACGCCCTCTTCGCCAGGCACGCCCTCGGCGTTACTCACGGCCGTCATCTCAACATCGCCGCGGTTGCGCCCGTGTTTGGCGAAATTGAGGCGTTCGTCTGGCCCCCCCAGACAAGATTCAGGCAAGTTGCTCTTAGCCACTTCCCACACCGCCGAGGCACTCTCCACGAAGGCGGAGAGTGGCGGTAGACGGAAGGGCATCTTGCCTGTGTTCGGAAGTACCACGGCAACACTGGTCACTGAAGACGGGATACCACTAGCATGGTTATAGCTACAAATATGTAATTACACTCATCTTGGTACCGTCGACAGGGTCTCCATAGACCTAGAAACCTAGAACGGGAGAGGTCAGAGCAGGCGTAGGAGAGGTGTCTGTAGCGGAGGTGGTGGTGAGGTTGGGGTGGAGGCGGGGGTGCGGCAGTGGCAGGCAGGAGCAGCAGCGGGGCCTGGCACTACTGTGTGGCACCACAACCCAACTGCCGCCCCCCGACCCTACACCCGCACACCCGCGCACAAGTCAATACGCCCGCACACGCGCCCACCCCTCACGCCCTGCTGCCGCCGACCACCAGCTACCACCACTTACCTCCAGCTCTGTCATGAGCTCTACAACCAGCTACCACCAGGTACCACTTCTAATACCACCAGCTATGACAAGTTATTACCGCCACCTGCCACCAACTACCACCAGTTACCACCGCCACCTACCACCAGTAGCCACCAGCTACAACCTCTACTACCAGCGACCACCACATACCATCTCTACCACCAACTACCACCTAGAACATAACACCACCTACCAGGAGTTCCCTCCGGCTACCACCACCTACAATTAGCTACTACCTTCTACTAATACTAACCACCAGCTCTTCTGAGAGCTCTACAGCCAGTTACCACCACCTACCACCTCTTCTGTGTTAGCATCTACCACTAGGTACCACCTTCAGCACCTTCAGCTACCAGCACTTATCACTGCCACCACCTACCACTACCTACAACCACTATTACCGGATACCATTATCTATAACTAGCCATCACCAGCTACCACACCTTCCACTTTCTAACAATAGCTACTACAAGCCACCATCTAACACCGCCTACCACTAATTAGCACCAGCTACCATCATCTAACAGCATCTACCACCAACCACCACTAGTCACCACCACCTACCGCCGCTTACCACCATCTAACACCACCTACTACCAGCTACCACCATCTTCCACCAGCTCATAATATGTGCCTGTTCAGTTTTCCATGTTTGTTTTTCTCCTGAAACTGGGCCACCTCTTCGCGTTGTTGTTGTTGTGGTGGTTGTGAATATTTAGGAAAAATAACTTGACATAAGTCTTTGCCATTTAATAATCTTACTTAACCGGAACTAACTTAAATTAATCTAACCTAACCTAACCTAACGCCTTATATTGGTGAGCTGCCATCTTGCTGCCTCTTCTGTCACCTATCTGTTTTTCGCTGCCTCTTCTACTTTCTACGAAGGTTACACAATACAAACAGTAATACTCTACCATTTATGCTTCTAACGTTTTCAATACAGTCATCATCCTCTCCTTACAATACCTTCAGAGAATCTTTATTGTTTGATGCAATCATCAGTCCCTCCTTCAGAGGGTAAGAGGTCCCTCCTTCAGAGGGTAAGAGGTCCCTCCTTCAGAGGGTAAGAGGTCTCTCCTTCAGAGGGTAAGAGGTCTCTCCTTCAGAGAGTAAGAGGTCCCTCCTTCAGAGGGTAAGAGGTCTCTCTTTCAGAGGGTAAGAGGTCCCTCCTTCAGAGGGTAAGAGGTCTCTCCTTCAGAGGGTAAGAGGTCTCTCCTTCAGAGAGTAAGAGGTCCCTCCTTCAGAGGGTAAGAGGTCCCTCCTTCAGAGGGTAAGAGGTCCCTCCTTCAGAGGGTAAGAGGTCTTTCCTTCAGAGGGTAAGAGGTCTCTCCTTCAGAGAGTAAGAGGTCCCTCCTTCAGAGGGTAAGAGGTCTCTCCTTCAGAGGGTAAGAGGTCTCTCCTTCAGAGGGTAAGAGGTTCCTCCTTCAGAGGGTAAGAGGTCTCTCCTTCAGAGGGTAAGAGGTCCCTCCTTCAGAGGGTAAGAGGTCCCTCCTTCAGAGAGTAAGAGATCTCTCCTTCAGAGGGTAAGAGGTCCCTCCTTCAGAGGGTAAGAGGTCCCTCCTTCAGAGGGTAAGAGGTCTCTCCTTCAGAGGGTAAGAGGTCTCTCCTTCAGAGGGTAAGAGGTCTCTCCTTCAGAGGGTAAGAGGTCTCTCCTTCAGAGGGTAAGAGGTCTCTCCTTCAGAGTGTAAGAGCACATCTTCGAATGCACTACCTTACGTAACTAACGACTACATGATTACTGGAGGTAAATATGCATCCCTTGAGATAATCTTAACAATATAGCTAGTGATCTATAAATATATCTAAGGAGTACTAATATGGTGCCCAAAAATTCATTTCTGACCTGGAATTTATTTTCTAAGATTTTGAAAACCTGTTTTAACCAGATGTAGTTTCCTGGAATAGTTGACGAAGATTCAGATCAGTTACTTTATTAGGTTCAAGGTTTATCGACTGGTCATTAGGTTTAAGGTTTATCGACTGGTCATTAGGTTTAAGGTTTATCGACTGGTCATTAGGTTTAAGGTTTATCGACTCGTCATTAGGCTTAAGGTTTATCGACTGGTCATTAGGTTTAAGGTTTATCGACTGGTCATTATGTTTAAGGTTTATCGACTGGTCATTAGGTTTAAGGTTTATCGACTGGTCATTAGGTTTAAGGTTTATCGACTCGTCATTAGGTTTAAGGTTTATCGACTGGTCATTAGGTTTAAGGTTTATCGACTGGTCATTAGGTTTAAGGTTTATCGACTCGTCATTAGGTTTAAGGTTTATCGACTGGTCATTAGGCTCAAGGTTTATCGACTGGTCATTAGGTTTAAGGTTTATCGACTCGTCATTAGGTTTAAGGTTTATCAACTGGTTATTATGTTTAAGGTTTATGGACTCGTCATTAGGTTTAAGGTTTATAGACTGGTCATTAGGTTTAAGGTTTATCGACTGGTCATTAGGTTTAAGGTTTATCGACTCGTCATTAGGTTTAAGGTTTATCGACTGGTCATTAGGTTTAAGGTTTATCGACTGGTCATTAGGCTCAAGGTTTATCGACTGGTCATTAGGCTCAAGGTTTATCGACTGGTCATTAGGTTTAAGGTTTATCGACTGGTCATTAGGTTTAAGGTTTATCGACTGGTCATTAGGCTCAAGGTTTATCGACTGGTCATTAGGCTCAAGGTTTATCGACTGGTCATTAGGTTTAAGGTTTATCGACTGGTCATTAGGCTCAAGGTTTATCGACTGGTCATTAGGCTCAAGGTTTATCGACTGGTCATTAGGCTCAAGGTTTATCGACTGGTCATTAGGTTTAAGGTTTATCGACTGGTCATTAGGGCTGCAGCATCAAATCTCTATTTAATGGAGTAAAGATACGGGTCGAGTATGTACACAGACAGTTACACTCCTCTTGTGTTTATGCTATGAATGTGTCAGAGTTTCAAATAAATAATCTAACTCATACGTTTGTGTTACTGGACACTTTTCACTGACTAAGCAACGCTGAATGACTCATTCGGTTTTAGCGCGTTTTTTAATATAATAATAATAATAATAATAATAGCCTTCTAGTGAATAGTTACTTTAACAGTGTTGTTTGATGATGATACACTAGACTAATGTACTCACAGAAACTTTATATCAAGATTGTGACGTTTTCAAAGTTTATCTGAAACAACAAAAAAGAACAATGATCAATCAAGTCAACATTTTCTTTCTATATACAGTTTTCTTTAATGTAAAAACCTTGGTGAGAGGCACAGCGGTTCATAAGACAGGTTGATGTAGTGAAGGATCCTCCAATTTACGTCTGTCATAAAGGAAACGCAGTAAGTGGTTTGCAGAGCAGCAGAATCTAGCTTCTCTCAGTCACATATGATCGGTTATTAGAGTCTTACTGAATGTCAACATTGTATCCAACAAACTGGAGTTCATAGATAAACTGGCTTCATTGACAGCATTTTATAAACATCCTCTGGGGGAAACATTAATTATTTTTGCTACATTTTATGAACATCCTCTGGGGGAAACATTAATTGTATTAGAGACAACATTTGATAAACATTCTCTGGGAAAAATATAAATTTAGGATTAAGTTACAAAGACAAGTTGCTGTGGACATCGTCTTTCCCATGAACATATCTCAATGATTCTTTGTAATGTCTAGATTCAGAACGTCCCAGTAGCTATGATGTGAGAAGCCCATGAGGAAGACACTATCCCTAAAATAGGAATTAAAGGAAACTTTCAGCATATATATACGCTGAGAGAAATAAACCTCTCAGCATTATATATATGCCGTTTCTTACGACATTCTGACAACAGAAGCAAACAGCGTCATTTAATACATTCAGCACGTCACCTCTGTCTAATCAAATAAGACAGAAATTTACCGTAGAGTTTAAAAAATATATTAATATTGAAAACGTCAACAAATCCAAATAGTTAGAGGTACTATAACAGTAGAACTAGCGCTGTTATATATCTCTGAATTGCTAACTACCTGGACGTGAGGAAACGAGCATCAGTGATTTAACCTTCATAATATGTAATACAATCAATTATTGAAGACCACTGAAAAATAAAAATTATGTCAGTCTTGGTGATATCTAAGCTTAGGACATCAAAATCTTCCAGATCTTAGAAAGAATCAAGATCTTCCAGAACATTCAAGTCTTGCTTCAAGATCTTCCAGAATATCAAAGTCTTCCAAAACGTCAAGATCTTCGAGATTATCAAGCTCTTCCACACTATCAATATCTTCCAGAACATCAAGATCCTCCAGAAGATCAAGTTCTTCCAGAATTTCAAGATCTTCCAGACTATCAAAAATTTCCAGAACATCAAGATCTTCCAGATTATCAAAATCTTCCAGAACATCAAGATTTTCCAAAAATCAAGATCTTCCAGAATATCAAGGTCTTCCAGACTAAGATTTTCTAAGAACATCAAGATCTTCCAGAACATTAAGGTCTTCCAGAACATTAAGGTCTTCCAGACTAAGATTTTCCAAAAGATCAATATCTTCCAGAACATCAGGGTCTTCAAGAACATCAAGATCTTCAAGAACATCATGGCTCGCGATCCAAGGAGATGTATAAACCCACTCCCAATTTAGATCAAACAAAATTATATCTCCTTCCCAAGGGGCTGTGTGACTCATTCGGGTTTAGCGTTTCACCACAAATTAAAAAATAAGTAACAAAGAGGCCTGTGTCCCAAATTTTGCAGGTCGCCAGAATCACTCCTCCAACGCACACCACAAGCTGTTGTAATCTCCTATTCCATGTATCACTGCCAGATAGATTACACCTCTCTCCCCATTCTACTTTGAGCTTATTTATCTCATTACACTTGTATT